AAGCTTAGATGTGCGGCTCGTGTAATGTATAACGGCTTAGAATTGGATAATCGCCGAAATGAGTTCCAATTCCAGTCGGGTTCGTTATTGTCACTTATGCGTATCTATCCTTGGGAAGGGTCTGAATCTACCTCTTATCTCCCCACTTATCGGTCAATTAGTTGAACTTGTATCAGTAAAACATAATTATGATCCTTTACAAAATTCTTATAGTCTAAGTTTTAAATAGCATGAAAATGGTTGCCAAGCCGTAAAAGTAAAAACTAAAACAGAAACAAAATAGTCCATTAATTTATCAACCACTGCAGTGTCATTGATGAAGTTGGATATACTTTTATCTTCCAAATTCAACACGCGGTAAAGCAGTATTCTCTTAAATTTGGTACAAATGTTTTTTTTTCTTTGATGAAACTTACCAAAGTCCTACAGTAAATCCACATGTTAAATTTTTAGATATATGACCATTTACTTCTATAATCTTTAATTAAGTGCACACTGTCAAATTCAACACACGGAAAACCAGAATTACAGGTAAGTGTCACATGACATAATGCGTTTGTCCGCATTCAATTTATTTTTTCAAAAAAATAACGGAAATTTAAAAAAAAGAAAATGATACAGTTTTTGTCACTCATCCCACCCAGCCAACGGTAACTTACGTGAGTCGAAATCTTGGAAGTAAACAACAGTTAATTCGACCAATTTACCCCCACACAATAACATTTTCTATGATCTTTTAATTCGACACCTAAAATGACTATTGTTTCTAATAATACACATTTAAAGGGAAAAAAATGATATCTAAATATATCGAATGTATATAAGGTGGTTTTCTAAGCTTAGCTGTAGGCCAAGTCCGAAAATGTGGAGCACCAAGTGAAGATCGAACTCACTACTCATTCGTAATTGATTTAGCGAGACAAGCTTAACGTTTCACCACGTCTCAGTCTTATATAGGTATATAAGAATGATCTATTTTAAATACTTTTAAAACATTTTTAAAATTATTATTTACCCATTAAAAACTGTTTTTCGCAGAGCGATTTCAAAATGGGCATTTGTTATTTTTAGACGACTTTTCTACTTAAAAAAAAAATGGATGTATCAGCGTACCAACAATTCGGTCTTTTTCTTTATTAACCCATTCACGTTTAGAATTCTCTTATTTTTCACTCCCCCCACCCCGCATTCATTGATTGCGCATTCTGCGAAATTATCTCATTCTATTACAGGTGGTTTCGCTTTTGTTTTTTAATTTCCTGACGCATTTCTTTTGAAAAACATTAAAAAGAACAGTAGGATAAGAAGCACCCATTTAAAAAGATTACTCCATGACACACCGTCTGTTAATAGGTACATAATTAAAAAAAAATGTTATTTTTATTTCTATTAAAAAAATATTTAATATAGAGCACTCTTTTATACATGACTTGATTGGTGACCGCTGGGGAATACTAGGTGTTGTAAGCATGGATTTGTGGGTGATGTAATGGAATCGTGAATCGCAAAGAAGAGTCCCAATTCTAGTTGGGGTTCGATATATTCACTTACGCAAAAATACCCTTGGGAAAAGGTGTGAATCCACCTCTTATCCCTTCAGGTATGGGTTAATTAGTAACACTTGTATCACTAACACCATTATTATCTCCAAAATAAATAAATAAAATTGCGTACAGAATATTTAGATTTCTGCATTAAATAAGCCATAGATGTTGATATAACTCTAAACAACAACAATCACCCAGCCAATCTAATATACATAACAAAAAGAATATACAAATCCCTCCCTCCACACACACACACACATATATATATATATATATATATATATATCGAAATAAAAGTATAAAACTTAATATTATGAGACATATTATTATTTTTTTAATATGTCTCGTAATGTTAAGTTTATACTTTATTCGATCATTAAATTTTGCACCTACAAAATATCTTTAAATATATATATATATATATATATATATATATATATATATATATATATATATATGTGTAGGTGCTGAATATAATATCAATCAGCTAACTATATTATTATATTTGTATTAATCCTATGAGATCAGGTTATTTCTTCCTAAAGTAACTAATACCAATATTAAACATATAATAGATATAAACACTAACATTAACATCTATAAAAGATAAATACACGTTAATTATAAGCCACACGTCTTTTCTCTTAGCAACATTAAAGAAAGACACAATCGACCAGAGCAAGAAAATTAAATTATCAACTATAAAAAATTTTAAAACAGTTAACCTTATCATCAACAATAACAACTCAACTGCAAGGTGTAAATTACAGAGAATCAATATCATTTATGAGTTCAGACGTACGTTAAAGAACTGAGTTCCTGATCAAAACAAACTCATGAATAATTATATTGGACGCACCACTCCATGCCTATCAAGAAGACTTACGTTACACCTCTCAGACCATACCAGCTCAGTTAGTGTTGTAACCCAGGGAGGGTTACTGAATAGAATAATCAAACGAAGGTTGGTAATGAACGATAATACTTAGGACAATAACTACACGTATAAGATTCGCCAGCGGCGCGTACAAGAAGTAGTCAACTGCTAGAAATGAGTCAAGTGAATTCCAACTGCAGACCAACATACAGCATTTACTACTGTATTTATGTGAACGGAGACATGCCTATTTTCGTCCGTAGGTATGCTGCATCAATTAGGATCAAGTTAAACAAATACGGAAGCCTATCAAACTCCATCCACAGTTTGCTTGTAGAAATACAAGTATAATAGCCTCGCCCACATGTAAAAAAAAACACTAAAAATAATAGAAGCATTAAGAAAAAAGAAAAAAAAGCCAACATTCAATAACTTCAACTATGAACACGGTCGCAATGTGCTGGCCGTGTTTTGAAGATAAAACATTCCTATAAATCTTGATACATTCAGTTAAAAATAAAAAATCCTGACGATGGTCTATTACACCGAAACGTCCGACGTTGAGATTAAACATTAAAACAGCATAATCGCATATTAGGATTTTTGTTTGTTTTTTTCAGTATATTTTTCTTCATATATATGTATGTATGTGTGTGTGTGTGTGTGTGTGTGTGTGTGTTTCTAATTTATTTATTAAACGTTATTTATATATCATATTTGAGTAGATGCTATGTTTTTATTTATTTATTAAACAGTATATTTATTTTTTTTCATCTACTTTATAATAACCATAATGTTTTGCTTTTCAAGCTAGAAAGATTTTAAAATTTAAAACGAAAAATAATACCATGTCTCATTATTTTTTTTTTTTATTCATGCGCATGGATAAAAATGACTGAAACTAGCAAGAAATGGTTACTGAAAGGTCTTGAACCTTTTGAGATATCTGTTAATTCACCCGACATGTCGAATGCATGACGACCATTCACTCAGCATTATGTACTCTGGGATCCGAGCAGAATAGATTTCCAAATCTCACCTCAGGTTTCTTTTTGAAGGATTTGGTCTTGATTCAGACTTTATCAAGATTAAATATCCACAACTAGTTTTAAGAATTAAAATAAGTATTAAGAATTTAAAATAAGCGATAAGAATTTAAAATAAGTTTTAAGAATTAAAATAAGTTTTAAGAATTTAAAATATGTTTAAAAATTAAAATAAATATTAAGAATTTAAAATAAGTTTTAAGAATTAAAATAAGTTTTAAGAAATTAAAATAAGTTTTAATAATTTAAAATAAGTTTTAAGAGTTAAAATAAGTGTTAAGAATTTAAAATAAGTCTGATGCTAGTGTTTTGAAGTTTCACTTGACCGGTACGTATAGTATATGATCAACTAAAAGAAAAAAATTGTAATGTTTAATATAATTTTCTGTAGTATTTTTTTGTTTGTACGACATGGTTTTATTTAATATATATATATATATATATATATATATATATATATATATATATATATATATATATATATATATATATATAGGAAAAATAAATCCGTTGGTATATAATCCAAGTGGATACTAGTAATATAAAATATTAAAACTGATCCACAAAAAGAGCTCAATGTATTTATTATAACAGAGCCAATAAATAGTATTACACAATAATTTCCAAAATTACCTCATATGAGCGGGGCATAGATCTATTTAAACCGATGAAATCTTCGTCAGTCTTATTCAACCTCGCTGTAGTCCAGGGTTGAATAAGATTTCGTCGGTTGAAGTAGATCTATTCCCCCATATGAGGTAATTTTGGATTTTATTGTGTAATACTATATATATATATATATATATATATATAAATAAAGAGAGAGAGAGAGAGAGAGAGAGAGAGAGAGGAGATAGATAGATAGATAGATAGATAGATAGATAGATAGATATGATATGATATGATATGATATGGTATGATATGATATGATAAAATGAATAAAGAAGAATCTCACATGTTTCACTTTAAATTAAGGCTTCGTCAGAGATCGAGAATAGAAATAAAAAAGAAAAGAGGAGAAGAATGTTATGATTTTAGGGAGTTTTCATTGGTCAGACACGCGTCACGTGTATAAACGCAATAGATAATATATAAAATATGTGTGAGAAACATTTAGGATGTTAAAGATTGTGATAGTGTAATAGTGTGTAAGTTAAGAAACGTTTGTGTGTGTAAGTATATGTAGGACGGTAAGTTTAATTCATGTAAGTGTATAAGTGTGCATATGAAGGAAATCGAGAGATGTCACCCTCGTAATTTGTCGGTGAAATGTAGCGATATGTTGCAAAAATATTTTGTATTTGGTTGTATATATAGTTAGGCAAAGAAAGGTTTGGTAATCCATGGATTAATCTATATTAATCTAATAATCTATGGATCATCCCAAGGAAGATGTAATCCAGAGACCTCAATGTCAAACCAGAGCAATTATTAATTCAATTTAATTAGAAATCAGACAACCTTAATGGTCCATAGATTATATTTTGTTTCCCCAGGTAGTTGCTTTTTACCTGGTTCATCAGATCACAT